GGAAGGGGGCGGAGAGCCCGGCGCGTACACAGTGCCGCCGAACTGGCGCGAAGGGCCGACAATGCCGGGCCGCACGATCACCGACTTGATGTTCCGAGGAAGGGTCAGAGCAGTGGGGCCAGTCTGCAGGAACTCCACGAGCTTCGGGATCGACATGCGGGAAAGGTGGGTACGAGACATGGTGGCGACAGGGGGAGAGGCGAGGGGAGGGGCGAGGAAAGGGGCAGCGAGGGGAGGGCGTGTGTCGCCGAGATCAGTGTGTCGGGCACAGCGTTCCGCGGGAGAGGCAAGGGCAGGGGGGAGGGGATGGGTGTGGCGCGGGAGGGGACTGCTGGCGGCTGCCGCGGGCCGGCCTCATCGCCAAGCTGGTGGGCCTTATTGCCGGCCGCGCCTCTCTCCCTCTCTCTCTCTCCCTCTCTCTCTCTCCCTCTCGCGCGCGCGCGCCGTGGGCCTGGCCTTGCCCCCGTGCCCACGCACGTCCTCTCGCCCTGCCGCCCCCTCGCTCTCGCTCGCGCTGGCGCCCCCGTGCCCCGAGACACCACATACAGGCACCCGCGCACCCACACAGGTACAGGCACCGGCCGAGGGAAGGAAGATCGGCCCCCACGCCCGGAGGCTCACGCCGCCCACCAGCAGACCCTCCGCCGGCGCGGGGGGTTGGGTTGCCACGGCACAAGGTGCCTGCCGCCTGTGTTGTGTCCCCCCCCCTCCCCCCCCCAGCCCCCTCCCTCGCCACCCTGGGCACGGAGTGCGAGCCGCTCGCGAGGGCCAACTTGGAGAAGGGTGGCCCGGCGCCCGCAAAGGCCGCATGTGATCTGGGACCGAGGCGTGGACAGTCCCAATCTGGGACTTCGGATCCTGCGCGCGCTCCCCGTGGCCATGATTCTCGGGCCCCGGGTTCTCTGCGCCGGGCGTCCGAAGAGGGAGGGGCAGAGCGCGAGAAAAGCATGGCCGCTGGCCCGGCGCCCGGCTCGCTCCTCTTTTGGTGAGCCTTTTTTTTCCGCCCGCCTCCAGGATGCTGACGACTCCCCCCCGGGGGGAGGGCACGCATGAGCGCCAACCGGCGGACCGGGCCCGGCCCTTGCGGCCATGAGGTTCCCCGGAGCCACGCCCGCACAGAGTGGCGACCCCCCGCGTCCATCACCAGGTCTCACACACAGAGGCAGAGCAAGCGGGCGCAGGCGGGGGCAGGCGGGGGCAACACAGCTACAGGCCAGATCGGACGCGCATGCAGGCCTCCCCAGGCGGCGAGGTTGTTCTCCCCCCCCCCCCCCCCCCCCGCACCGAACACCCCCCGAACACGAGGAGCGATCTTGCTGGCCCCGCACCCAGGCCCGGATCTCGCGTCGCCGGTGCCACATCGATGCACGGCATTTTCGGTGGCCTTACCACTGTGCCCCAGTGGGCCGAGGCAGCGTTGCCCG